AAATTATTTTGCATTCACACAAATTAATTAAACAGGATGATTTAATTATAGACATAATACAGAAAATTGTCAAAAAATTATTAATTTTATTTTGAAATTAAGCTGTATTAAACAATTACTAAAACATAATTATTAAAACAATCTAATCTAAGCTAATAATTGTTCAAAATAAAAATCGTTCTCTTGAATATACCAAGTGTTCAAATTAAAGTGTTACAGTTAAATAACGCCTTTTATAAAAAAAACGTTTCAGACGAAAGTTTTATAGTTTCTTGGGAAAAACATTTTAGCCAACTTTTTTTTTCGTGCAGCAAAATTTTTGAAGTAGGTGTTGTGACGAAGTCACTAAATTTTATTTTTAATTCAATTTAAAAATGTATATTTTAATTAATTTCCATGCAGGTACTCTTTAAAGAAAAAATGTTGAATTCTCTAGCCATCGCAGATCCTGAACGGCTGAGCGAGCCCCCGTAGTTTAAAATATTCTTTTTGTACTGTAAAATCATGTTCGTATTAAAACACCGAATTTTATACAAATTATCTAAAATTATTTGTGAAGGTGTGCGAGGGTCATTTTTTGTACCTTAGTAGTAAATAGTCCGAAGACCGGTGGTAGTTGACCCAATCCCAACTGGTGGACGTGTAGCGTCATAGTTGAAAAGGCATAAGTATGAAGGCGGCAAAAATTACAAGACCTTGCCTTTTTGACCACCGAAGTGACCATTAAGTTTTCAGTCGCCGAAGCTCTTTTCTGTTCGTGATCAGTGATACGAGTTAGTGAACCGTTAGCTCTAATAATTCCGATTAGTAATCAAGGTAGGCCGTTCAATATAATTTATTATTTTCTCTTATGCGAAATTGCCGTTCTGATCTCTTCCCCTAGTTGAGTATTTTTTTATTATTAGTCAAATTAACGCGTTTTAGCGTTGTCAAAACTCTCCTGGTTGAGCCATTCGCGGATCACCTGGATAGGTTCTAACCCGGAAAGCTTTGCAACCCCGCCCAGTAAAACATTAATTTTTTTTATTAAATTGACGCGATCATTTTCTTTCTTTAATCTTGTTAATTTAGTTATCGCGATCTAGTGTTGTAAAATCTCTTGGTTGAGTTACTTGTGGACCACCTGGGCGGCCTCTAATCCTGGCAATTTTACAACCGTCCGCCCCCGATAGCATTTCCCTTCGTCTATAATAATTTTGCAAACGCCGGACGAAAGGCTCGAAAGTAGACATGGGTAACGCACTAAAATTCTTTGCGTTGATACACTAACTCCGGCGCACTGTATTGCGCCAACTCATTGCGTTAACGCAATTGCGTTATTGCGTCACACCACTGCCTACGCCGAATGAAATCGATGCACCTCGGTTTATCGCATGATACCACCGATACCGGTGTTATTCAGCGCGGGCTGTCCTTTTATAAGGGTCAAACCGTGTTCAAGGCAATAACGCAATTGGGAATTTAACTAAATTTTTTTTACTATATGTTTAAAAATAAACGAAAATATAACAGTGTAATGCACCCATTTTTTTATTTCATTGTGTTCGGATTTTACAAAAAATACAAAAATTCCAATTTTATAAAAAGGATATAACTTTTGTATAGGTACTAGTAGCCAATCAAAATGGGAAGAACTAAAAATTGACAGTGTACAAGATTAAAATTCGACTTACAATCCTACAAATGATGCGACATGTTGCAAAGAACATAATAATTACTTGATAGATTTTGGGTAATCTGCATTACGAGTTGCATCAATTACGTAAATTAAAATTCTCAACTCGTCACGGAAAACGGAATCAGTGCCTGGCGCATGGCGCACCAACAACTCGCGATCCTTTCGACTCAGTATCGAAAATTGCGTTGCGCTCATACAGTAACAGCTGGTGTATCAACGCTCGTAACGCATACAACTGCGTTAACGCAATAACGCAACGCAGCGCTGCGTTACCCATGTCTACTCGAAAGTCGCTTTCGTCGCGTAAACGAGATTTCGTGTTGACTTCGATCGAATGCCCAGCGCAGTGCATTAATTCCGTTCGTTGTAAAATTTTAGTTCTCATATGCCAGAGTGTCGAAAAATTTCGATACAGTTTATTTTCACTTATTAGTTTCCTTTTTTTTAAATGAAATCGCCTGCTTTAGTCCAGCTAATTTGTTTTGAAAATTAGTTTTCCGTAAAGTGAATTTATTTTCCGTAAAGTGAATTTATTTTCCGTATACAGCTTGGAGCATAATTTGACTCCTGGATTTTGAACTGCTTAATTCAACTTATAAAGAAAAATTTATTTTCCGTATTTTCCTGAATTTTGTTCCGTTTAGTTAATTCAACTTATTTGTTTTAAAAATTAATTTTAATTTATGAAAAAAAAAAAAGATTATTTTCTGTAGCATAATTGCCTCCTGGATTACAAACCGATTGTTTAATTCAATTTATTTTTTTTTGTAAATTAATTTTCCTTTAATAACTTTATTTTCCGTATACAGGTTGGAGCATAATTGTTTTCTGAACTTTTATCCGTTTATCTAATTCGATTTGTTTTTGAAAATTAACTTTAATTAAAAAAAAATTATTTTCTGTAAACAGGGTGGAGCTAGTTGCTTCCTAAATTTTGAACCGTTTGTTTAATTCAACCTGTTTGGTTTTGAAAATTAATTTTAGTTTATATAAAAATTATTTTCTGTATCTTAATTCTGTAGCTTAATTGTTTCTATTTTGAACCGTTAATTATTTCAATTTATTTTTTTGGGGAATTGATTATACTGTTGGTGTACAATTATAATTTAGGTAAAAATTTATTTTCTGTATACAGGGGGAATTATAAATTCCCGTCTGATTGTTTAATTTCCTTGTATAACTCAACCGATCTTTCTGACCGGTGTTCTTTTGTTAAGAATTTGTTCTCCGTATACCGGTAAATCAATACCAGACCGAGGTGTTATTTTTTTTTGGAGTTTCTTTTATTACCGGCTCTCGACTGTTTTCTTTCAGGGTACCGTAGGGTACAAGGTGTATGGAAGATAAGTGCTTTAATACTAATTTAGCGGCTACCTTTAACAGTGACCGCCTGGAATTTATTTTTACTTCACTGAGTTTATCTTGAGTACACTCTGGTGTGCACAGGGTCGTAGAGCAAACTGTGTTACCAAAACTAGCGCTCAAGCAACCCCTATTCTTAACTCACCATCATAATGTCACACAGACTTCCCGATTCTTTGTAAGTGGAATCGGAAGCGCGTTACAGTGTTACTCAATAAGTAAAAGTCCAATAAAAAAATGTTTTCTTTAAAAGTTTATTTTTTTATGAATTTTAAGAATATGTAAAAAAATGGGGTTCCAATTTGAAAAAAAAAAATCACCTCGATATGACCATATTATGGTCAGCTATAACAAAATGAATTTAGTCAAAATGTTTCCCCCAAAAAACTATAAAACTTTGTCTAAAACTTTTTTTATAAAATGCATATTTTTGGCGATATTTAACTGTAACACTTTATTTTGAACACTCGGTATATTATTTTCTTTAACAATTTTTTTGATATTTTTTGAATTTATTTTTGGATTATTTTTGATTTCTTCACATACATTATTGTCGTGTGAGCCATTCTTATTCACTATTTACAGTATCCCACTTCTGACAATAATTAACATTTATTTATTTTACAACATTTATGTTAAGTGTTCGGTTTGTTATCTAAAACTGATTGACTGCCACAGCAAAAGAGCCTATTTATATAAAATGGCGATTAACATGACATTATGTATTCTCTATGCAGAAGTTCATCGGATGTATTCATTTCATCAATCTAAATGTTCTCAAAGGTAAGAGATAAGGGGATTTAAACCCGGTAACCTTGTCGGCCAGTAAAGAGGTACACCACGATATCCGTGTTAAAAAATGGAAAAATCTCTTACGATCTAAAATATGGTACATCATCTTGTTGAAATTAGATGCCTCCAGGAACATGATTTTAAACAAAATTTAAGTATGGCTCACCGATTCGTCTTCGTCTATTGCAAGAAGATGCTGTCCAATCAAATGGTTGTTTAGCAAACCATATCATAACATTTACTAAATAGCTCTACCTTACAGCATGTGGATTTCTTGTGATCATGGTTTTTTATATTATCTGAAACATCTACAGCAGGGTCGGTTCGCGTCACAATAATTTAAGAATTTTACTAATTTATGAAATAAAATAAACATGAAAAAAAAAAGATTTAATTTAATTAGTTCCCAGCTCAAATACAAACCCGGGCTTTTCGCGTTTAAGGCAGACGCTCTCTGTCCTCACTCCTCCACCAGTTTTAGCATTTTAGTTTTAATACTCGTAATTAAATTAGTTTCATATAATATGATTAGAATTTAATTTATTTTTCTAAATATGGACCAAATAAAAATAAAAATGCTATTATTTATCGATTGTACACTTAAATAACTCATTTTAATGTATATTTAATTTCAATAACTAAAAAATATACTGACAATTCGTTTGACAGAATTGTCACTTATTTAAAATTTTAAAAATAATAGTAGTTGGGTGTCCAAAATATGAACTATGATTGGTGGATTTAATTTTTTGCAGTGTTCTCACTACCTAGAATGGATATGAAATATAATCGTTCAGGTGAACGCAGTAGCATACTTTTTCGTTTTGTAGTCTGTCTGTAGATTAGCTAATATCCATGTGGGTGTGGAAAAATCAAATTTAAACGACCATGTTTATTATAACCTATACAACAAAGTAGTTTTTGTAAAACAAGCATGACAAGCATTTTAAACTGGGTGTAGAAATGTTCCATGGCTGGCCAAGATTGCGTTACTTGCCATTTGATGCTGCGTTTACACAAATTACCTCGTTTAGTTTTATTCCGTTCTTTTTCTCAATTTCCTCTGCTCAAGGAGGTACGTAGCCTTAATCAAGGTGTGTTGCGGATCATTTTATCACTTAAGTTTCTCACAAGAAGTACAGATGCTGTTTATAAAAAAAATGCTTACCTGGATAAAAATCATGCGATTTCGACATTTTCACTCTGGCACCGGTTTCTTTCTGTAACTGAGCGATGGTTTCACCACCTTTACCGATAATCGCTCCTGCCGCCACGCTGGGTACCAACAATTTGAAATGAAACGTTCCATCTCCTCCTGAAAATAAAGAAAAACCGTTATTAAAATTGTTTAAAATAAATAACATGGTTATTAGGTTCAGAAATTGAAAAAGATTTTAATTATTCAAAATTACCTTTCTTCGATTTATTTATGAATATCCGGATTATTTTGTCTCGTAAGATCAATTAAAAGTTTTAGGAATCTATAATTACTAACATTATATTTAATTAAAAAATTAACATACGAATCTTCAGTATTATTATTATTATATTATTTGCGATTATTCCAGTTTATTTTCGTTTCTTTTTTCGATAAAATCCCACCAATAATCTGTCTAATAATTACTAAAAGTAATGACAAAAGCGAAGTAGGTTTTTGATTAAAAATACTGATGTAAATAATGCTTATAAAAATTAGTTTCAAGGTGCATTTTTTGATAATATGAAAATTATGTTCGTAAGGAATAGAACATTATATTAGCGTTTGCAACCTTCGGATGTTTGGTGTTAAGGTTTCACGATTATTGTGAGACAAGGTCGAAATTCAACAATTTAGCGTTATGTAAAATCTAAAACCAAACCACAGGTATAATTAATATCTAATATTTATTATAACTAAAAAACAAAGCTGCTTATGGTTAATTAAGTGGATTAAATTGCAGTCTTTTTAGGTCAAGTCAATACAGATAAATGTGATACATAAAGGTACAGGCTGCTAATTTTAATTGCAAAGTAAGGAATACATTAATAATTTTATGTTGGTACAGGGTCTTCAATAATTATTAGGCAATCCAATGTCCTGTCAAAATGGTCGAAGATTGGCAAAAATATAACAAAGTTTGTGAACCTGACTGTTTATTTAAAGTCATTATTGTAAATTATACATATACTCCTATATTAATAAATATTAATTAAAAACACCGACAATACATACGTTTAGACTAATAACCTCACTAGAAACGTTGTCACGAAACACACAATTTTGTTGTTTTTGCCAATCGTCCACCATTCCATGTCACGTGATTTGGTTTGCCTAATACCCGTATTCCACGTGATCAAATTGACATATCATCAGTTTGTGGAAACGAAAGCAAAATACTTAGATGCCAGCCAGTATACGAGCCAGTGTCGTACAATTATTCTTTTTTTTTACGTTCTGTGTCCATCAGAACAAAATACAGTTTGCGAGAATAATAAAAAAATAAAAAAAGCATATTCTTAATAAATTGTGTTATCTCTTAAATTATGTTGTATTAGCATTGCTAAATAAATATTTCAGATTGGTGGTGACTGGTATTTTAGCTTAATAATAGTAGTGATGGAAGAATATAGCAAGTACCTACTGTTGTAGGAAATAACCTATTAAATTTCCCTGAGAATAGTAACCTTCCAAATTCAAATATTACGATTTAACAACATGTGATGATAGTTTTCCTTTATTAATTAGAATTATTAAACTGTACAAAGATATATCAAGATATAGCATCATTTTAGCTTGCTGTTCGTCTAGAAACTAAAAACTAATTTAAAATTTACTTTAAGAATTATGAAATTGTATATCCCCAAAAGCTCCTTCTATACCCCAAAATGTAATAAGCTCACCGCAGGTTGAATTAAGCCTTGAGTTTAAAATTTGGTGTTTTTCTGTTTATCCATTTTAGAGTAATCATGGATACCATGCAGACACGCACACACACAGATATCGCGAAAATGTTTAAAACGGATTCAGGAAACCACAAAACGAAACAATCCGTCGAAAACTCGAAGACAAAAAAATCGTAATTCATATACTTTTCTTACTGGTTACAGAAATGATCAATTATTACATTTATTTAGTCATAAATTTGTAAATTTCGATGGAATGGGAAAATATGAATTAATGAAATATTTCTATAATTCAAATTTTTTCTAGATGCATCGATTTTGAAAAAAAATCTACACATCGACTTAGTTTCAGTAGAAGTAGCAGCCTATAGAGATGGTCCTTAAAAAAACAATTTTAATTTATTGGGACACGAAGTAAATGTATATTGGTTAAGTATTATTTAATCTATTATCTACCGACAAGTAGATACACTACTACATAATCATTGATATAGTGTGTCATTAGTGTTACCTATTCTGATACAATAATAATAATTGTGCTAAATGATAAATTGTTCAAGGTCTTGGACACGAGCTCGCAAACAAACCAGTTGGTGACATCAACATTCATTACGTAAGAATGTATATCATAATTAATGAAAATTTATTCTCTCAACGAAATTTTATTTTGGTGCCTTAAAAAATCTGTTAGAATTTTACAATTTAGAAGATTATAAAATGTTAATATTAACTGCTTATTCATTAATTTATAAACTTCCTGTTATAATTTTTCCTTTATATCATTATATTTTTGTCTTTAAACAGAAAAATAGCAATATAGGTATTATCACAATACAAAAGAATAATTTAGGTTAATGAAAAACACGAAATAGTATTAATTTAAGAAGAAGCCTTGACGGCTCTTTTAATGGTATAACTCTTTTGGGGTGTTATAAAGACAGTCATCCTTTTTATAGGGACTCAGGGCATTATATGCTAAACAGACAGATTCCTAACAAGTTTAATAGTTAATCTAAGTGCTCTTAATATAAGGTGATACAAGGTGATCCAATATTAAATACCATAATTGCTATAGGTACCATCAAAGATAAGGGTACCGATACAGGTAAAAATAAGACTTCTGTCAACGGGATCCCGCGCTCGTCTCGAAATGGCAGGAGACTACAATCTTGAAGAATTTAAGATGGCTGTTGCATTTGAAGATGCCTTGGATTTTGATTCACCTAGACATGTTTTCACTACCTTCCAAATTTAACCATTTTTTCAAAAGATGGGTTTCAGCAACGAATAATAAAGCACTCACAGATATTAGTAGTGATGCAATTCAGACATCATATTGAATACGCGATCGTGATTTTAAGAATAACCAAAAAATTAAGAACAACAGTCTAAGAAAAATGCAGTTCATACACTGTTTTGAGCCAATGGTAAGTAATATTCACAAACTTGTTTTTGATTCAGTGTTAAAATAATATTGGATGTTATTTTAATTTCTTTTTGTTTTCAGTTCTTAATGGTTCTTCTTATTTTAACGAAAATGTTGATCCACAATAACTTGTTCATCACTAAAATATGTGAGCCTCAGCCATAAACAGCAAAAAATGATTCAATGACACTCACAACAAAGAAGAAAAATGTACCTCAAAATCTTCAAGAATTCAAACGTTTAATTTAATTTAAGCCCCTGCCAAGAGAATGAATCAGAATTTAAAAAAGTACAAGTGGTGCACAAATGAATCAATATAGTATATTATATTACGAGTGTGAAAAATCACTTTCACACAAGTGATGCACAATATTTTTCCTACGACCATAAAATAATTTTATCAAAAAAATTTGAAACTAGAAAATCTGTAAAGGTTCCATCAAGATGTGGCTGGTTTTAGATTTGTTTTTTTATAATTTTTAAAACGTTTTACAGAAGTGTTTTGTCAAAATTAAAAATATGGTGATTCCATTTTTTTATCTACCATTGAAATGATTCCAGACATCCATCAACAAAATGAAATTCCACTATGGTCCTTACATTTTTCAGCTTTAACAACGCCATTGAAAACATTATATAAACAAAAATCTACTGAATGAAAACCCTCTAGTGATTAAAAACGCATTTAAAGAAGATTTAATGAAAAAATGGAATACATTTGAAAACATATATACGGACGGATCTAAAATTGGGAACCAATTAGGATGTGCAATTTTGTATCCCAACAAAAATTATGAAATTTCATTTAAACTTCCCAGTACAATGTCAATATACAATGCTGAACTTGTTGCTATAAAAGAAGCTTTTAACGTATGTCTTCAACCAGTCCTACCAACTATATAGCCTCAGAAATTCTTAAGCTTAACTACCAATGTTTGGAACAAAATAAAGAAATTTCGTTGGCGTGGATAAAATCTCATGTAGGTATTAGTAACAATGAGAAGGTGGATATACTAGCAAAAAAGGCTACTGTTTCGGGAACTAATAAAAATATTAAAACTCCAAAATCAGATTTTATTGTTAAATCTAAATTATCAATGTTTAAAACTTGGCAAGATGCATATTCTAAAGAAGAAAAAGGGAAGAAATACAAAAACATTCAACCTAATATTTCAAACTGTCCCTGGTTCAAAAACGAAATAAATAGGTCTTTTATCCGAGTTATTTGTCGTATGAGAAGTAATCATGCTATGCATCCTGCCTACAAGGAAAAATTTGGTCTATCAGATAATAATTTATGTTTAATTTGTGATGAAATTGCTGATCTCAATCATATAATTTTAGAGTGTGTCTTAAATTCGCTAGATACTGACACAATGTACTTAGAATTAGTTAATATTGGTATACCTCTACCAATAAACATGGATGTTCTGCTTCCATTAAACGATGTTAAAGTTTATAAAATATTGTATGAATTTGTTAAAAAAACTAATACAAGATTATAAGTAGCTGAGCTACCCTAAAAATATTGTAAACCTGAAACGAAAAAATAAAATAAATGATAAAACAAAAAAAAGAAACCAAGGAAAAAAAGAAAAAAAAAAATAATACAAAACAAAAAAATAATACAAAACAAAAAAAATAAAAACAAAATAATACAAAAAAAAATAATCAAAAATACATATAACAAAAAAATAGATATTTTTTATAATTAATTACAAACTCAGGTATTTTGATAGCTGTAAGTCAAAATATAATAATAATAATAATGTAATCATGTAACAATAGTGGATAAAACAATTAAAGAATTATGGATTACTACAATACTCTGGCCTTTTGGTTTTATCCAGTGCCATTAAAAAAAAAAAAAAAAAAAAGAGTTGAATAACCGTGAACAAACACTTTTTATTGTTAATAGTCACCCACTTCTTTACTCACAATTTTTTTCTGAACAGTAATTAAAATAGTACAAAATAGTGTAGGGGTTATAATATGATAAATAAGAT